TGTCCAGATTTCCCAAAAGATTTCTTAATAAAATTGTTTCTCCGGATACGTATTTATTACATATTATCACAACATAATAAGTCATGTAAAACGATTACTCAAAAGAATAAAAAACTTTAATATTTTACATTTATAATTTGTTCTTAATTTGATTGTTTTCTATCTACAGCCTTGTTTTTATAACATACATAATTTATGATTTATAAGTCCATTATAATTATTTTATTGCATTTTTTACAAGTTTCATTGGTTTTCTTCTTCTTTGGTTCATATCGAGCTGGATCGAATAGCTGAGATATGATTCAAGAAGAGTTGGACAATGAAATGTCTTTCATGGAATGAACTGTTACTGTGTACGTTACTGTGTTTTACATCTTTGCTTAACTCCATTTCTTATGTATGTTTATTAATTGCATGCTTTGTTTACTTTCAAAGTGCATTATATAATTACATTATATATTTACTAATTGAACGTTTTATTACATGCATGCGTTATAAATATGTTTTATTTACTTCCAAATTGCATCATATTATAATTTATAAATTGTAACACTTTCAAATAAAATATTTCTTCAATTGCATATACCTATTATTTTTATTATGCATTATTTATTGTTTGTGTGCAATAATGTAATGTTGTTACGTACATATTATTTTAATTTTACATGAATGTTTTATATTTTATTATATTTAATTTTATATGCATATGTTGTAAATTGTTTGCTTGTGTTAATATTGTGTTTGCCAGATGTTTAATTAATTTATCTATTTATTGAAGTTTTTATATGTTACAAGGATGAAGAACAAGGACAACAAATCAACAATTTCGCTTCAATGACGCTTGTGGCTGTTACATGCACCATAAATTTCATACATTTACGTATTAATCATGAAATGAAAAAAATAAAATAAATAAATGGAAATGTACAAAAAAATGAAATATCTCTTGATTTTGTTCGTTAATAAAACATTCTCTTTTAATATTTTAACATGCAGTGCTTTGTATTGTATATATACTATATGTTTTAACATAATTATTAAAATTATTTTAATATATATTGTATTAATAAATATATATCTTTTTCTATATAAAATATATTAAATTTTCTTTTATATCAACTTATAACATTTTCATAGCATATATTTATAATTATGTAATATTTGAATATTTCTTTATATAAATATATGTTTTAAAGGTAATTTAATATTTTTACTAATTTTTCTACACATTTGTACGTTTGAAATAAGTAGCTGGCGCGCTACGGAAAACCTCAAAGAACAATACAATGCTTGTAGAAACGAGCTACTACACTTTATTTATCAAGAAACTTTCCCAGAGAGACATTTTTCCTCTTGAGTAATACAAAAAATAATCGGTTAGGCCGCGCGCCAAACTTAAATATATTATTGCGGGGTACCCCCCCCCCCCC